TTGCACTATCGCATCGCCATGCATGTACGCACGGGCGGGGCGGTGGTGAATGGATGGGTGGGTGGGTGGGTGGCGGGGCGGTGGTGGCCGTGGGTGGGTGGGCTGGTACAACAAGGTGCTGATCGGTCACGTGGTGCGAGGTAACTTGATTAGTTGACTCAAAAGTGTTTCTAGTTGACTGACTTTTGAGTAGCCTCAAAAGTCACCTCTGCTGCCACTCGTGGCTGCCCGCCTCCCCCATCTCCTGGCGCGACTACTTCGTGCGAGGTTCGCCGTGTGGGTGGGAGGGAGGGATTGAGAATGGGGATGGGCGCGCTCAGGAACTCGTGCTTGCACGTTCTGCAACTTGTCCATTGAGGCTGGTTCGGTTCAGGCGGCTTTCTAATGGATGCTTACTTGTTTAAACGAGTGTTGGCCTGTGCCCTGTGTGCTCTGCCCCGTGCATGCAGTGGTGCCCACGGCAGTGGCCACATCGCTTCACATTGCCCTCTCCAGCTTCTCCCTCGCGCTCGTCACCCGCACCTTCTACTCCATGGTACGCTGTCCTGCCCTTATTCTCCCTCGTCGTCACTGTGCGATATCTTATCCGCTTCATTCACTGCAGTCTCCTTGGTCAAAATGATCCGCTTACGGGGGTTTGCTCAAGCGTGGGTGTACTCAAAAGTGTTTGTGATATCTTATCCGTTGCAGAAAAGGTCCAGTGTGGCACTCAAACTTGGGTGCGCTCCACACACACAGCACGTTGCGATGCATAGAGTAGAAGCATGGGTGGGCACCAGGCTCATCATCTCCGTCGGCGTGCTCGGCATAGGGTGGGGAGGGGGGGGCGAGGGGGAACGGAAGGGAGAACGGAAGGGGGAGGGGGCTGGGAGGGTAATTCGATGACCATCCAACATTTTTTTCTACCGTGCCTCAGTTTTCCTCTTGTATCACTACCATTTCCGTGCGCTCCACCCCCCAATCAGCATTGCAACGCAACGCCTGATTTATACATGGGCGTCGAGCAGAGTTCTTTGACTTAATTCGCGCTTTTGACATTCCGTGTGGTGTGCCCTCGAGTGGCGTGTGGTGCTCCCAGTGGTGGGGGAGACGGAGTTTGAGCTGCTGGGCTTCATCTTCGTCATGCTGGCCTCATTCATGGCGGGTCTCCGATGGGTGCTGCTGCAAGTGCTCCTCCAGGTAAGCTGCTGCTCACTGCTGCTGTGTATGCTGCTGTGTGCTGCTGTGCTACTGTGTGCTGCTGTGCTGCTGCTGTGCTGCTATGTGTGCTGCTGCATCAACCAACTAACCCACTCTTTTCGTCTCCTGTTTACCCTTTACGCTCACAACATCTACTCACCATCTCACCATGCTGTCGTCGCTTCTACTGGTGACAGAGGGACACACTTGGTAAGCATCTGTCGCGTTGCCCCTTCCTCCTTACTCACCTCATATTTCCGGGTGCAGCCCCAGCTCCACAGTGCCTGTGTGCTGTGCTTGCTCTCCCACACGCCACAATCCTCCGGTTTCTCACCCTTCCTCGCATATTTGCTATGGTCACGCCATCCTCATGCCACTATCTCCTTTCCAGTCCTCCTAGTTCCCCTTGCCTCCCACCAACCGCAAGTCCGCCCTCCCTCTACCCCAACAGGCCTGACCAACCCGCTGCTCACGTTGCTGCAGTATCTGGCGCCCGTGATGGCGCTTGTGTGCGGCATCTTCTCGCTGCTGCACGAGCCGTGGTCCTCGCTCGCCTCCTTGCCCTACTTTGACACGTGGCCTCACGCCCTCTGGACCCTCGCCGTCATGCCCGTGGGGGGCGTCCTCGCCTTCTGCATGCTGGGTGGATGTGGGTGTGGGAGGGGGGGGGGGGGGGAGAGGGGGAGGGGGAGGGGGGAGTGGGGGGGGGGGGGGTTGTTTGTGTGTGTGTGTGTACGAGTGCGTGCGTGCGTGCGTGCGCGCGTGCGTGTGTGTGCATGCGTGTGCGTGTGTGTGCTGTGTGGCAGGCTGTCGCGCAACAAGGCACGTGAGTCTGAAGGCCATCGGGTGCACGCGCTCAGTGATGAGCTCCTCCCTCACCACCCGGGGGCAGGCCCTCGGACCAACTCTAGCTGTCTTTTGAGTCGACTCAAAAGTCGTCTGAAGGCCATCAGGTGCAAAAGCTCACTGATGAGCTCCTCCCTCACCACCCGGGCAGGCCCTCCGAGCAACTTTAGCTGCTGCACCACCCCGCCTCGCTCTAGTCGTCCGCCCCCCCAGCGTATCATCGCTCCCCCGCGTATCCTCTCTCTCACCGCGGCACCCCAGACTCCAGCTTATCCTCACATGTGCTGCTATCCACCAGCATGAGTTCCGTTGATCAAATCAGAATGGCAGGTTCCGCAACCTAGACAAGATGCGGCTGTTTTTCTGGATATAACCGGAAAGTCAGTCCCCCTGGTCTAAAGAGGACCTTTTTAAGTTCAAAAAGTGATACCCTTTTTTCTCTGTTTGTCCCAAGTTATATCTGCACTGCTTACTTGCCAAATATGCAAAATTGGGCTAGTTTGAATGAAGTTACCAATTATATCAAGTGCTTCTCAGATTGACCAGATGCATACAGCCAGGTCCGCTGCAAACGAGTCCACCCTTTCCCCTCGGTTGCTGGTGGGGTTGGTGGTGGCGTCGGTGGGAGGCAGTCAGGCGAGGATCCATCCCCTCTAGTTGTGTTCCATTTCACCTTCATCTGTTTCCCCTCCCTGCATCGGTACACCAAAGAGAAGTTCTTGCATTGATGCCAGATGGTCAAATGTCGGAGAGATCCGTGGGTAATAATAACAGGAACATGCCGTCACTCCTGGGCAACATAACTAGCCGGCTGCTGTTTAGAAGTAGAACGACTTGACACTCTCAAAATGGGGATCAATGGGCAAGGAAGGACAAAATCATGCCGCCACCCTTGGAGAGCAGCAGCAGCAGACTTCCATTCAGCAGCATCCACGCAATGACAAATCGCGGAAATCAGAAATCAACATCGTTGAGCAATGAGCTGCTCTCTATTGCGAGGGCGAGGATGGCGAAGGCTGGGACGAGGCAAAGCCAAGTGCCAGAGGTCCCCAAGGTTTCAATGAAGGCGACGGTGATGAGAGTGGGGATCTTGGCCTTGCACCTGCCGGGTACTGCCTGCAGAGTAGGGGTTGGTAATGGTGGTCGAGGGTGGTAAGGGAAGGAAGGGAAGGCAGGGCAGGCAGGGAGGATGAAGGCTGAGAACTAGCAGAGCTCAGTGCCTGGTGGAAAGGCGCCCAATTGGAATGAGCCAGTCCACTGTTGAGACAGCTCACTGCTCTAACGCTGGCGATGTTGGCTCTGCGCCTGCAAAATAGGGACTGTTGGGATTGAAGGGAAAATGGAAAGGTAGGGGAGATCAAGGGCAGCTCCTCACTTTTGTGGACGGCAAACCACCAACCCGTACCACCGGCCTGCACCATGCGCCCCACCAATCATGGGATGGGGTGATGGGGTGATGGGATGATGAGGCAAAGAGCTGGTTGGGTGAAGAGGTGATGGTCTGATTGGTTGATGGGGTAATGGGGATGGTGCTGTGTGGATGGGGTGAACGTGTGATGAAGCAATAAGATCATGAGACTGACTCCTCCAAATTGACGGGTGGACATGAGAGATGATGAGTTGCCAATGGCAGTGGCAGCAAGCCAGATCACAAATTAGAGGAGAGACCCGTTTCGGTAGAAGCAGGTTCGATACAACGCACTACTCACCTCAGTGTAGAGATGAGGGCTTGCTGATCAATGTGTGGGTGTAGAGATGGCAGGGGGTGGATGCTACTGACAGGACTATGCACACTGGTGGGTGATAGGGGAGAAGGGTGGTGAGAGGGAGCAAGAGAGAGCAATGAGGTGATGCAGGATAGGCGGATTGGAGCAGTGTGATGGACGCTGCTTGCTGCACTGTGTTCACCTGGAGAGGTGCGGATGGCAATCGGGATGGAGAATCGGAGGGGCTACAGGAGGGAAAGGGAGAAAGGGGTGGAAATGGGAAAGTGTAAGGGGAAGGGAGAGTGACGGCTGCACTCAGCACACTTAGTGCACCCTGCCACGGTGCTCTGCCATGGGGTAGATGCGATCTTGGGGTGATGAGATCATGGGGTACTGAGGTGGTTATGTGATGTGATCATGGTGTGAGCCCGAACCATGCGGGCCCTTCCTCGAGCTCTGAGAGAAAGAGGTCTTCTTGGCGAGCTGGGTGCGATGGGCACACACAGACCAGCAACAGAGACGAGCAGCTGCGGGTAACCTGTAGACTCCGTTGGGCGCATGGCATATTGGAGACCCCAACGGAACTCAGCTCTCCAAGGTTCCTCACCGTACATCATCAACACATACAGGCAGCCCTCCCCACTTGCTCCTGCGCCAGAACCCTGCACACACCCTTCTCAGCTCCAAAACTGTCCGCCAAAGTGACCCACTGGGTCTCGGCCGGAGGGGCTGCCAACATCACCAGCCTCCCGCCTCTAGGCGATGGAGGCGTCAAAGTGCTTGGCAGCCCAATAGGAACCCAAGACTTCTGGCAGGCTTTTGTACTACAGCAGCAAGACCCTCCTGCACTCTCCAACCTTCACTCTTAAATCAGCATCCTCTTGAACGGGGAGAGGGGTGAGGAAATTGCGTGGGGGAAAGGGGTGGGTGGGGGAAAGGGGTGAGCAAAATGCGAGGGGGAAAGGGATGGGGGGGGAGAGGGGGGTGAGGAAAATGCATGGGGGAAAGAGGTGGGGGAGAGGGGTGAGGAAAATGCGTGGGGGAAAGGCGTGGGGGAGAGGGGTAGGAGAGAGGGAGTGGGGAGTAGGTGTGGTGGAGTGGTGTGGGCGAGAGGAGTGGGGAAGAGGCGTTGGAAAGAGGCGTGCAGGGGGAGGGGGGGAGGGTTAGGGGAAGAATGGGGTGACAAAGAGCAGAGGAGAGAGCCCCTACATCCTGCTTCATAGACCTCACGTTCCTGAACCCTTGCCATCTTCTTCCCCCCATCGCCTCTTAACCCTTCCATATCCCCCGTATTCCCTCCCCCCCTTCTCTGCCCCTCTCGCCCACCCGCAGGCCGGCCACTCGCGCATGTCCTGTGCCAGCACCCTTTATCCCTCCGTCTTTTCTAATCCCCCTTCTCCCCTCCTCGCGGGCCCCCCCATTGCTTACCGGCACCATCCCATAACAATCACCCCTTATCCCATGGCTCACCCGCCGGTGTATCCACTCGCGCATGTCCTGCGCCAGCTTACGCAGCACCATGATGCGGTCTGCTGGTACACGTCCTCACACACCTGGCGGGGGGAGAAAGGGGGAAGAGGTGGGAGGAGGGGTCAACTTGGAACCAGCTTGCGCAGCACCATGCGATCTGCTACTGCTGGTATATGGTCCTCCTCACACACTTGGCGGGGGTGAAAGGGGGCAGAAGAGGGGGGGGGGGGGGGGGCGTTTGGGGGGGAGGAGGGGACGACTCGACACCAGCTTGCACAACACCATGCAGTCTGCTGGCACACAGCCCTCACACACACACTCACACACACACCTGCAGCGGGGGGGGGGGGGGGGGGGGGGGGGGGGGGGGGGGGGGGGGGTGGAGACGGGAACACGGAGGGGCAGGGTGACGGAGGTTGTCAGGCACAGAGGGGAGAGAAAAGGCCTGGTTGCTTTGAGACAACCCAAACCAAGCTTGCGCAGCAACATGCCGTCTGCTACTGCTGGCACAAGTCCTCACACATCTTCCCCGGTGCACCTTCAGGAAGGCGGAAAGAGTGGGAATGGCGCAGAGGGGAACAGGCAGGGAGACCAAGGTTTGGGGATGTCGCACAATGTGTGCACACTTGAGCGATAAATGTAGCACGGGTGGCGGAGAGTGGAGAAGTGAGAGGGGTTGGGTTGGGACTCGAGCGAAAAACGTCTGCTAGCAATCCCCGTCGTCACTCATTTCTCCTCGCTGCAAAACCCTCTCACTTCCATCACCAACCAAACCGAACACTCCCCCCCCCCCCCTCCCCCCCCCCCCCTCCCCCCTCCCCTTCCTTCCCCCCCCCTTCTCCCCTCTCCCGCGGCACACCTCGAGGAATGCGTCTGCATTTTTGTCGCGAAAACACCCGCTTTCTTTGTCCATGCTATCCACCCCTCTTCCCCCGCCCCCCCCCCCCTGTTCCCCCCCTCTCCCCTCTCCCAGCCCACTCCCAGCCATCTCCCAGGCCTCTCCCCGCCCCCACATCTCCCCTCCCCCACGCCCACCTCTCCCCCGCCCCTCTCCCGCACCTAGAGGAAGCTGTCAGCGATCTCGTCGCGGGAGAACCCGATTTCGTTCTCCATGCCCCTACCCTCCCCCCACCCTCCCTCGGCCATCTTCCAGCCCTTTCCCAACAATCCCCCAGCCCTCTCCCCGCCCCCACACCTCCCCTCCCCCGCGCCCACCTCTCCCCAACCCTATCACCCACCTCGAGGAAGGCGTCAGCCATCTCGTCGCGGGAGCACGCGCTTACTGACGAGCAGGGGAGAGGAGGAGGGAGGGAGAAGTCAAATCTCCCACCAGTGCTGAAAGCGGCGATGAGGAAGGCAATGCTGAAGGCATTTTGCAGAAGGCTATGGCCGTCTGGTCTGGTCAGAAGCAAAGACGACAACATGGCTGCGTGCACCCACTGCATGGGCGTGCCATGCATGGTTGTCGCCGTGCCATCCTGCCTTCCCCTCCAGCAGGTTGTCGTAGCCTGTGAGAGGATGGCAGGTCGCATGAGGGAGCGGGGGAGGGAGGGAGTGGGGAGAAATGAGGGGGGTAGGCAGAATGAGGGAACGGGAAATGTTCTATCGCGCACAACAAGCACAGAATGAGGATAAGGAGAAAACGCTGGGGAGGGACGGGGGCGAAGGCATGGGGAGAGGAGCAGGGAGGGAGAAGACATCTCTCCAACCAGCATCGAGGTGATTATGGCACCAGAATTCTCAAAAGCGGCAAGTTGACGGTTCTCTTGATCGTCATTTGACGCCAATCGATTCGCTGCGGCGCTACGAATTTTTCGCAATACAGGCGGCGCTACGAATTTCTCGGCAGCAAGCGACGCACGCCGACCCTCGCTCGACTTGCCATCGGTCATAGGAGGCATGTGGCTTGATGGTGAGAAGTGCTAGTGCTGTTGCTGAGTCGGCTCATACGGTGTACAAATGACTTAGCAAAAGTGGCGTTCCTTTGACACTATCCTTCGAGATTACGTCAGAGCAGTTACGGAAGGCAAGAAGAAGCAATTATGGCCATTCGAGGACCATTAGGTCAACTCGATGTCAACTATACCTTATCGCTTAAAATCCGGGTCTCACTTTTTCTAACATATTATACTTGGTTGGGCAGGGAAGGCTGTGATAGGACCACGAGGGGCGAAAGGGTTCACGAGACGAGGGGTCATCTGGGCGAAACCCAAACACTGTAGGAACACAACCAAACCTACCATCCGAACTTGGTGTCACACCCACACCAGGGCAAACAGGTTCGTCAGGGGAAACAACACCTGCGACAAACCCAAGCGACAAACACACCCCCCCACCAAAACTTGATGGGCACCTGTGCGACGCTCATCATCTGTTAGTACTAGCGCGACACCCGTCACACCTCCCCATTACAGTCGCCATTACTAGACTCACAAGCCAAGCCCACCCGCCACGAGCAGCACTGACGTAACACTCGCAAATACAGCTCTCCCCTTCGTCGCATGCCCCACGTAAATCCCGCCAACATTAGCAATGTCGAGTGAAGCGAGGCCCGGGCACATGGCGGACACATCCGAAGGCGCCGCGGAACAATGCGTCAACGAAACCGCGCGTGAGTACAACGACGCGTATGAATCGCGGTCGCGTGTCACACGCGCCTCCCCCAAACGACAGCCGCGCAGCATCCCGCACGGGACCGCACCCCCTTCCCCACTGTCGCCATCACCGTGATCCCGCACGCTCACTCTCCTGGTCCCCACCGTCGCCCTACGCGCTTCCCCACCTGCGCAGCTCCCATTTCCCCACGCAACCACTCCCCGTCGCTGTCTCACCCCATCCCCCTGGCGAGCGTCCCCGTTGTCCCCCATGCGCTCCCGCCCTCTCCCCCGCGCGATCACTCCCCTTCCCCGCCGCCCGTGGTCCCCTACCCCGTCTACATCTCTCCCCTTCCTCCACGCTAGCATCCCCTACCCTGTCGCGTTCACTCCCCCCCTCGTCCCTAACACTCCCCTTCCACGTCGCGCTCACACCCTTACCAAGGCCTAACACTCCCCACTGCCATCGAAAACCTCCCCTATCCCCACCGCAAGCACTCTCTCCCCCGTCGCTATCACTCCCTCCCCTGCCCTTATCACTCCCCCTCCCCATCGTGACCTTTCCCCTTCCCTATCAACCTCACGGCCTTCCGCTGTCGCGTTCTCTCCCATTCCCTCTCGCTCGCTTGCACGTTCCCCCCCATGCGCGCCCAACCCCCCTATCCGCTGCTATCACTCCCCTTCCTCGTCGCATTCTCTCTCCTGCTCTCTCCCCGTTCGTGCCGCCCGCCCTCCGCAGTCCCCTTCGCAAGCACACCCCTGGTCCTGGGCTGACCATACCTTTCCCCCTCGAAAGCGAGACCATAAAACGCACCGATGGCCCTCTCCTTCCCCACTGCTAACACTCCCTACCCGCCCCAGACACTCCCCACCCTCATATCAGTCTCTCCCCTTCCCTCTCTCCGCCCGCGCTTCTTCCCGTCGCCGTCCGTCCTTCACCTCGCCTGACCTTCGTCCAAACGTCAGTACTCTCCCCGTCGCCCGCGCTGTCCCCCTTCCCTCCTTCCCCATGTCCCCTTCTCTGCTCCCTCCCATCCCCTCCCCTGCTGCCCCCCATCCCCTTCCCTGCTTCCCCCCCATCCCCCTCCCTGCTTCCCCCCATCCCCTTCCATGCTTCCCCCCATCCCCTTCCCTGCTTTCCCCCACCCCCCTCCCCTGCGTCCCCCATCCTCTTCAAACCTTCCCCTTATCCCAAGCCCTGCTTCCCCCCATTCGGTTTCCTGCTTCCCCCCTCCCCTTCCTTCCTTCCCAATGTCCCCTTCTCTGCTTCCCCCCATACCCCTTCCCTGCTTCCCCAAGTCCCCTCCCCTGCTTCCCCCCCTCCCGTAGCCTGCTCCCTCCCATCCCCTTCCCTGCTTCCCCCCCTCCCCTTCCCTGCTTCCCCCCCTCCCCTTCCCTGCTTCCCCATGTCCCCTTCCCACCTTCCCCTCCTCCCCTTCCCTGCTTCCCCCCATCCCCTTCCCTGCTTCCCCCCCTCCCCTTCACTGCTTCCCCCCATCCCCTGACCTGCTTCCCCCCATCCCCTGCCCTGCTTCCCCCCATCCCCCTTCCCGGCTTCCCCCCCTCCCCTTCCCTGCTTCCCCATGTCCTCTCAACACCTTCCCACGTCCCCTGCCCTGATTCCCCTCATCCCCCTCCCTGCTTCCCCCCCTCCCCTTCCCTGCTTCCCCATGTCCCCCTTCCCACCTTCCGCATGTCCCCTTCCCTGCTTCCCCCCATCCCCAGCCCGGCTTCCCCACGTCCCCTTCCCACCTTCCCCTTGTCCCCTGCCCTGCTTCCCCTTGTCCCCTGCACTGCTTCCCTTCCTCCCCTTCCCGGCTTCCCCCCCTCCCCTTCCCTGCTTCCCCATGTCCCCTTCCCACCTTCCCCGCCTCCCCTGCCCTGCTTCCCCTCCTCCCCTTCCCTGCTTCCCCCCGTCCCCTGCCCTGCTTCCCCCCCTCCCCTTCCCGGCTTCCCCTCCTCCCCTTCCCTGCTTCCCCCCGTCCCCTGCCCTGCTTCCCCCCCTCCCCTTCCCGGCTTCCCCCCCTCCCCTTCCCTGCTTCCCCATGTCCCTCAACACCTTCCCCACGTCCCCTGCCCTGCTTCCCCCCATCCCCTTCCCTGCTTCCCCCCTTCCGATTCCCGCCTCGCCCCCATCCCCCTCCCTTCTCCCCCTCATCCCCCTCCCTGCTTCCCCCCCTCCCCTTCCCTGCGTCCCCCCATCCTCTTCGTTCTTTCCCCTTATCCCAAGCCCTGCTTCCCCCCATTCGGTTTCCAGTGCTTCCCCCCCTCCCCTTCCCTGTTTCCCCATGTCCCCCTTCCCACCTTCCGCATGTCCCCTTCCCTGCTTCCCCCCATCCCCAGCCCAGCTTCCCCACGTCCCCTTCCCACCTTCCCCTTGTCCCCTGCCCTGCTTCCCCTTGTCCCCTGCACTGCTTCCCTTCCTCCCCTTCCCTGCTTCCCCATGTCCCCTTCCCACCTTCCCCGCCTCCCCTGCCCTGCTTCCCCTCCTCCCCTTCCCTGCTTCCCCCCGTCCCCTGCCCTGCTTCCCCCCCTCCCCTTCCCGGCTTCCCCCCCTCCCCTTCCCTGCTTCCCCATGTCCCTCAACACCTTCCCCACGTCCCCTGCCCTGCTTCCCCCCATCCCCTTCCCTGCTTCCCCCCTTCCGATTCCCGCCTCGCCCCCATCCCCCTCCCTTCTCCCCCTCATCCCCCTCCCTGCTTCCCCCCCTCCCCTTCCCTGCGTCCCCCCATCCTCTTCGTTCTTTCCCCTTATCCCAAGCCCTGCTTCCCCCCATCCGGTTTCCAGTGCTTCCCCCCCTCCCCTTCCCTGCTTCCCCATGTCCCCTTCCCACCTTCCGCATGTCCCCTTCCCTGCTGAGCCCCATCACCAGCCCGGCTTCCCCCCCTCCCCTTCCCTGCTTCCCCACGCCCCCTTCCCACCTTCCCCTTGTCCCCTGCCCTGCTTCCCCCTATCCCCTTCTCTGCTACCCCCCCGTCCCCTTCCCTGCTTCCCAAAGTCCCCTTCCCTGCTTCCCCCCATCAGATTCCCGCCTCGCCCCCATCCCCCTCCCTTCTCCCCCTTCTCTCCCTCCCTGCTTCCTCCCATCCGGTTTTCTGAATCCCCCCCTCCCCTTCCCTGCTTCCCCATGTCCCCTTCCCACCTTCTCCTTGTCCCCTGCCCTGCTTCCCCTCCTCTTCCCACCGCTCGCTCAACCCCTTACAACCTTTTCCCCCCTCCCCTTCCCTGCTTCCCCCCATATTAGCACTCACCTTTCCCACCAACTCAATCCCACAGCAACATGACAGCACTACTCTTTCCCCGCTGTATCCCTCCACCACTCCAATCCGCAGGTGTGCGTTGCCCCTCAGCCCCACACCCACGCAGCATTGCATGTCCCAAAATACGGCGCACACTCCGACGACGTCTCACGCCCAGGTGGGTTTCATCCTCACACACCCCTTCCCGTTGTGTGTTGCCTGTTGCTAACCTCGTGTACCACGTTGTGTCCCATCATGCAGTGAGCAAAACTTTCTGAAGCGTCGGCGTGGTCTTCTGGGCAGAGTGAATGAGCTGGTTGAAGTGGATGAGGCAGGTGTGGTGGTTGACGAGGGAGGTGATAGCAGCCCCCCCATGAGCAAGTGTCGTGTGAACACGAGCCAGCCCTCACCCCCAAGCATCCGGCTCGCACAATGCGTTCGTCGCATGCCCCAACCAACTCGACAACCCCCTGTCAGGGTTCTCCCATTATACTGTTGGTCTTTGCCCCATTTTGCCCGTGCTTTCCCTAAGCAGTATGAAGTGCTTGAACAGTGGGGTGCTAGCTCGTAGGGTCTGCCGTTTGACAGCCAGGTGCAGCTGAGTACAGCAGGGCGGACGGTTGAAGCCCTGGTCTGTGTGTGTTGTGGTGCAAATACGAGTGAATCATGTGATGGGACCGCGATGGAGCCAAAGCACCACAGGTTCAGGTGTTACCTTGACTACTCAGACCTACTGAGCGATCGTCAACACAGCAAGGTCAAGCTACCATGGATAGTATATGCTGCTATCGGGTCTTTTTATCAGGAAAATGGAGATGCGGGGTACCTAGAGTGTTGCGCGCACGATGTCGAGTACTTCCTCCAAGTTTGGGAAATTCCGGATGAGATTGATTTTGAGGCATCCTCTTGGGATGCCATGGTATCGTAGCCACATCGTTGAGGAGTCTAGAACTATGGACTTCGTGTTTTTGTAAAGCGGGACGGGTAGAAGAGGCATAGTTTAGTGCGACCTTCTAGAATCACTTCAGGGGTTGCTCATTAAAGTCCCCGATTCCGATTGCCATGCTAACCATCCGAATCTTACTGCAACTAATTGTTGGCAAACATAAAAGTACATGATTGGATTGTTGCCATAGAGATGCAGCGAAATGTATAACTACACTGCACTATGAGCATGACCATTGCACTAGGCATAGTATAAAAGCACCCACTCTTGCCTTGCAGAAAAGGTAGTCAACTAGATATGCAGTGGACCTAGATGACATGCCCAGATGGAATGAGAGAGAGTGGAAGCATATAAACTCCGCATACACCTGTGCCTGAAACAGTCAAGGAAAGAAGGAAGATGTGATAGACGCTGGAGGTGTAACAACAGAAGGGTGATGATGCCATGAAGGAATGGGAGGAAGTAGCAACGGGAGATGACAGAATAGAAAGAAAGAAGGGAGACACGGGGAGACTGCAGGGTGCAAGGGGGAAACTGCAGGGTGCAGGGGAGAACGTGCGTTTTAGGGTGAAACAACAAGGGTCATGATGCTATGAATGGAAGGGAGGAAGCAGCAACGGGAAAGCAGACAATAGAAAGAAAGAGATGAGACATACGACGACTGCAGGGTGCACGGGGACGATGGCTCTACGCGGGGGGTGAAGCTGCGTTTTCCCAAGTGGGAAACCGCAGGGTGGGCGGTGGGAAACTGCGGTGTGCAGTGGGGAAGGTGCACTAGGGGGGTAATTAGCGGGAGCAAGCGGCAAACGGAAGAGAGCAGGGGGAAAAATGAAGGGGTGTAACTGAGGGGTGCAGGGGGGAAACTGAAGAGAGCGGGATGGAATCCACTGCTCTAGCTAGCCCACTCACCGCTCTAGCTAGCCCACTCAACGCTCTAGCACGCCCACTCACCGCTCTAGCTAGCCAACTCACTGCTCTAGCTAGCACACTCACCGCTCTAGCTAGCCAACTCTCCGCTCTAGTTAGCCAACTCTTCGCTCTAGCTTGCCCACTCACCGCTCTAACTTGCCCACACACCGCTCTAGCCCGCCAACTCACCGCCCTAGCTTGCCCACTCACCGCTCTAACTTGCCAACTCACCGCTCTAGCTAGCCAACTCATCGCTCTAGCTAGCCCACACACCGCTCTAGCTAGCCCACTCACCGCTGTAACTTGCCAACTCACCGCGATAGCTAGCCAACTCACCGCTCTAGCTAGCCAACTCACCGCTCTAGCTAGCACACTCACCGCTCTAGCTAGCCAACTCACCGCTCTAGCTAGCCCACTCACCGCTCTAGCTAGCCAACTCTCCGCTCTAGCTAGCCAACTCTCCGCTCTAGCTAGCCCACTCACCGCTCTAGCTAGCCAACTCTCCGCTCTAGCTTGCCCACTCACCGCTCTAGCTAGCCCACTCACCGCACTAGCTAGCCAACTCACTGCTCTAGCTAGCCCACATACCGCTCTAGCTAGCCAACTCACCGCTCTAGCTAGCCAACTCACCGCTCTAGCTAGCCCACACACCGCTCTAGCTAGCCAACTCACCGCTCTAGCTAGCACACTCACCGCTCTAGCTAGCCAACTCACCGCTCTAGCTAGCCCACTCACCGCTCTAGCTAGCCAACTCTCCGCTCTAGCTAGCCAACTCTCCGCTCTAGCTTGCCCACTCACCGCTCTAACTTGCCCACACACCGCTCTAGCCCGCCAACTCACCGCCCTAGCTTGCCCACTCACCGCTCTAACTTGCCAACTCACCGCTCTAGCTAGCCAACTCATCGCTCTAGCTAGCCCACACACCGCTCTAGCTAGCCCACTCACCGCTGTAACTTGCCAACTCACCGCGATAGCTAGCCAACTCACCCCTCTAGCTAGCCAACTCACCGCTCTAGCTAGCACACTCACCGCTCTAGCTAGCCAACTCACCGCTCTAGCTAGCCCACTCACCGCTCTAGCTAGCCAACTATCCGCTCTAGCTAGCCAACTCTCCGCTCTAGCTAGCCCACTCACCGCTCTAGCTAGCCCACTCCCCGCTCTAGCTAGCCCACTCACCGCGCTAGCTAGCCAACTCACCGCTCTAGCTAGCCCACATACCGCTCTAGCTAGCCAACTCACCGCTCTAGCTAGCCAACTCACCGCTCTAGCTAGCCCACACACCGCTCTAGCTAGCCAACTCACCGCTCTAGCTAGCACACTCACCGCTCTAGCTAGCCAACTCACCGCTCTAGCTAGCCCACTCACCGCTCTAGCTAGCCAACTCTCCGCTCTAGCTAGCCAACTCTCCGCTCTAGCTTGCCCACTCACCGCTCTAACTTGCCCACACACCGCTCTAGCCCGCCAACTCACCGCCCTAGCTTGCCCACTCACCGCTCTAACTTGCCAACTCACCGCTCTAGCTAGCCAACTCATCGCTCTAGCTAGCCCACACACCGCTCTAGCTAGCCCACTCACCGCTGTAACTTGCCAACTCACCGCGATAGCTAGCCAACTCACCCCTCTAGCTAGCCAACTCACCGCTCTAGCTAGCACACTCACCGCTCTAGCTAGCCAACTCACCGCTCTAGCTAGCCCACTCACCGCTCTAGCTAGCCAACTATCCGCTCTAGCTAGCCAACTCTCCGCTCTAGCTAGCCCACTCACCGCTCTAGCTTGCCCACTCCCCGCTCTAGCTAGCCCACTCACCGCGCTAGCTAGCCAACTCACCGCTCTAGCTAGCCCACATACCGCTCTAGCTAGCCAACTCACCGCTCTAGCTAGCCAACTCACCGCTCTAGCTAGCCCACACACCGCTCTAGCTAGCCAACTCACCGCTCTAGCTAGCCCACTCACCGCTCTAGCTAGCCAACTCACCACTCTAGCTAGCACACTCACCGCTCTAGCTAGCCAACTCATCGCTCTAGCTAGCCCACACACCGCTCTAGCTAGCCCACTCACCGCTGTAACTTGCCAACTCACCGCGATAGCTAGCCAACTCACCCCTCTAGCTAGCCAACTCACCGCTCTAGCTAGCACACTCACCGCTCTAGCTAGCCAACTCACCGCTCTAGCTAGCCCACTCACCGCTCTAGCTAGCCAACTATCCGCTCTAGCTAGCCAACTCTCCGCTCTAGCTAGCCCACTCACCGCTCTAGCTTGCCCACTCCCCGCTCTAGCTAGCCCACTCACCGCTCTAGCTAGCCAACTCACCGCTCTAGCTAGCCAACATACCGCTCTAGCTAGCCAACTCACCGCTCTAGCTAGCCAACTCACCGCTCTAGCTAGCCCACACACCGCTCTAGCTAGCCAACTCACCGCTCTAGCTAGCCCACTCACCGCTCTAGCTAGCCAACTCACCACTCTAGCTAGCACACTCACCGCTCTAGCTAGCCAACTCACCGCTCTAGCTAGCCCACACACTGCTCTAGCTAGCCCACTCACCGCTCTAGCTTGTCCACTCACCGCTCTAACTTGCCCACACCTCTCTCTAGCCCGCCAACTCACCGCCCTAGCTTGCCCACTCACCGCTCTAACTTGCCAACTCACCGCTCTAGCTAGCCAAGTCTCCGCTCTAGCTAGCCCACTCACCGCTCTAGCTTGCCCACTCACCGCTCTAGCTAGCCCACTCACCGCTCTAGCTAGCCCATTCACCGCTCTAGCTAGCCCACTCACCGCTCTAGCACGCCCACTCACCGCCCTAGCTTGCCCACTCACCGCTCTAGCTAGCCGACCCCACTCACCGCTCTAGCTAGCCCACTCACCGCTCTAGCACGCCCACTCACTGCTCTAGTTCGAGCACCCGCAAGGGTGAGATGGGAATTAATGGGGAAGGGCAGGGAGGTGCAGGGAGTTGTAGGGCAGGGGGTAGAAAAGGAAGGAAGAGGATAGAAGAGTCGTGGTGCAAGCGTACCACAAGGGGTTGTGAAGCTCCTGAAACTCCACGACAACATCAAGACCCGAGGTCATGAGAGTAGTCACGGTAACTGTAGAGGGAAACGCCATGGGAACCAATGGATAGGTTGATTTCATCGTACACATTGAGAAAGCAGGTTTAAACGACTTGAGCTTACCGAACGGGGACTTTGCGAGCACGTTTAAATGGGGCACGGACGTCATCCGGAAAGCGCTCATCCACGTCCGCATCTAGATGAGTCGTCTGGGAAGGGGACAGGTACAACACAGGGAATACATTTTAATGGAGCTTAATGTTAAACATGAATAAAACACAAAAACTTAGGGTTAAATCCACCAACCTAGAGATAAGGGACGCCGAACCCGTCTTGGGCGTACTCTGGGAACGGTGCGACGGCTCGTACGTGCCCACGAATCTGAACGTGCGGGCACGCCTGGACTAGTGAAGACAAATGAGCCGGAAGGGGGGGTTGCTGGTGACAATGGGGAGAGGAAAGGTGGGCGAAACAACCCTCGCGTAGGTGTGGACGGTTCGCGAACCGTTGATGTGCCAATATGCGGGCCACCACCTAAAAACGCCGACCCCAAATCTGCACCTTCGTCATCGCCGTTGGTGCCCGGTGTGCCCACCCCACGTGTCGCAAATTCACCACTAGCCCCTCCCCCCGCCAACGACACCGTTTCTTCAACCCGCAACCCGCCATCGGCGCCCCCGCCCGCATTGTGAACCCTCACCTCATCCTCTATTGGACCCTCTTCCCTCCCTCCCTCCACTTCCGCCGCCAACCCCTCATCAAAGTCCTCCTCCACCTCCTTTTCGTCCTCCTCATGTGCATTCGCTTCCTCTACCACTACCCCTTGGCCACAGTTGGGAGCAATTCCTCCCTCCCCTTCTCTTATGTCGAACCATCGGTCCATTACCGCATCCACCCAACTCCAGTCCATTACCCCTAATACCCTGTCCTTTTTCCCTCGCCTCACCCGTGTTGTTTTGCGCACACGAATGCGCCACTCTTTCACAACCCTCTCCACCGTGTGGTTCCAATGGAGAACCGTCAATGCCACTCGCGCCTCCATACTGCCGAGAAAGGCCACGCGCTTCGGTGCGTACTTTGTGATCAATGAGTGGAATGATTTATTGACCCAATTGCTGGCCCCTGTTACGTACGCCGCCATTGGACCAGGCCCACAATTCTTTGATAGCCACTCTTTGAAGGCAACATGCGTCTCCCAACCTGGCTCATACAGTGCACTTTCCGCACCCCATCCTTTGGTGACGCAGCGTGGTGTTTCACCATCCCGCGCACAACACATGTGTAGGCCTGCCCAATGATCCGCACACAAGGCCATCTCATCCGCCACCTCCTGCGGCGTCATCGGTTGCCCGGCTTCTGCTTTAGTGGCATTTCGCAACATCACGTGGCTCAAGATCCCTGGTGCGAGAAAGTTGTTCCCTCGCTGGATTGGGCCCTTCGAGGTCGTTCAACGAGTTGGTGCGGTAGCTTACAAACTCAAGCTACCTGATACCCTGCAGATTCACAATGTCTTCCATGTGTCTCTATTAAGCAAGTACGTTGCAGAGGGCAAGTACTTACCACCACCAACAATCGTCCTAGGGGAGGAACTGTACTATGAAGTCGAACGAGTGCTTTTGCATCGTGATCGACAACGCGGCCGCAAGACTGTACGAGAGTTCCTCATTAAGTGGAAAGGCTATGGGCCTGAACACAACTCATGGGAGCCGGAAGAACATTTGACTGATACTGCGGTTCAGTCTTACATGGAAGACCTGGCTCAGCGAGCACTCCCACAACCAGCGGATGGTGTTGACCCTGGTCGTAATGTGGTTCGTCATGCTCGTAGCACTCGTCCTAAGAAGCACCCCATGGCAACGAGGACGTTGCCAGCTGGAGGGGGAGGAGTGTAACATCTCGATATCCCAACCAGCCCAGAGTCTCGATACATTGAACCTGGGTTGGGAAGATGAAAAGGGAAATGAACTGGTTGAAAAGCGGGGAAACGGACTAGTTGGCAAGCCAACCAATCAGAACACTTTTATACAAAGTGAGTCGAGAAGTTTCTCGCCGCTGGTTGGAATTACAGCCAATCACAAACATTCGAAGTCCAACGCAACTCTCGCGTTGGAATTGCAACCAGTTAGAACATGATAGGTATGGATAACATATTGCATACACTGCATTTTATTCCTTTGTGCCATGTCATTGAGTAAGAAGGATCAACCTTTGCCACATGGGCAAGGCCCATGGTGGTGCACCCTTCCTTGCCATGGGGAAGGTGGCTGCACCCCAAGGGGGTCTAGGGAAGGGGTCTGAGGCCTCGGGGCTCATTCTTCATTTCCTACTCCCAACTAATCAATTGGGAAATAGGATTGCTTTTCTCTCAACTCACCCTCCACAGTTTGTTACTGCATCTCCTACCAACTCTCAGACTTAGTCGTTTTCTAGGAGCTGCCATTCTCTGGTTGTGTTAGAACCTATTATTAAGTGGGTAAATGCCCTTTTTATTATCAGATCCGTTACATTGGTAATCAGAGCTATTAGTAGATCCTCGCCTTGTGGGCATATAAGAGGATTTTGTGTATTTTTTTTTTTTTGGAGAAGTGGTGATTGTGTTGTAACTTCTATATAAGTTTTTGAAGACTACAAGCTCAAGCTTCAGTTTTCAAGATCTACAAGTTTCTCCAAGAGTTCTAAGCCCTCCCTCCTTCCCTGCTGGTGGAACCATTGGAGCTACTGTGGAGGAGTTGCAATCTGTGTGTATTAACACTCTCTGTTGAAGACAATCACTTTGTGATTGTTCTTGCCTTATCCACTGCGGTGGTAAGGATATTTTGCAACAGAGTTGTTTTTCACATTGCTGTGGTTGTAAGATCTATTGAAGAAATTTCTCCTTTGGAGAATATCTTGGTTATTCACTGCGGTGATAACAAATTGCAGTAGATCTGTAACTCATTTTTACAATACAGTGACTTTGCTCTCAATGGCTTCTTCCAACTCCAATGCTGGTGGTGTTGAAGGCAACAACTCCAATGCTGAACTTGAAGCTTGTGTGCAGAAAATTGACCTGAACAACATGGATGAGGAAATGGTTGAGAAGGAACCTGCTGTTGACTCTCCTGCAAGGGACCCTCCAACTGCTGAAAATTCCAAGGAGCAGGAAGGGGAGTCTCAGGAGGATGACATTGAGTTGGAAGGGGAGGAGGACATTCTGCAGGCTGAAATTGCTAAGCTGCAGGATCATGCTGTTGAGCAGGATACGCGCATCCAGCAGCAGCAGTCACTCATCACCAACCTCACGAGGGAGCTCTCTGACCAGGACGACAAAATCAAGTACCTGGAAGTTGAGCTCAAGAACATGAAGCACGACGCGCGTGAGCACGTTCACCAGCTGGCGAGGCAGACCTCAAAGATCAACGAGCTGCGCGAGGCCTTCAGTGCCCTCCGAAGGGAGACCATGTATCGCCCTGCACCACGAGCGGACCCGCCTACCAACTCTGCTAGCGGTCGCACCAACCCTTCTCGCTCTGGTGGTGCAGGGGGTGACCCTGGTCCTTCTACGCAGCGCGCTGCTGAGCCGAGCACGCAGGCCTTTGGCTCTCTGCCGATCACCCTGCCGCCATTCATACATGGCAAGACGGACGTGGCTGCGTGGTTGTCAATAATGACCGACCTGTTCAAGGCGCACAAGGTCCAGGACGACGCTCGCGTCGTCGCTGCCACCACCGTGCTGGACCAGAACGCACAGCGAGTGGTGTATGGCAGCAAGATCCAGGCTGAGGCGGATAGGAAGCCGTTTGGGTGGGAGGAATTCGCTTCTGCACTCAAGCACGCTTTCCAGGTCCAGCCGACCCAGCTGGAGGTGCGCAGTCGCCTTGAGAAGCTGCAGTGCGGGAACCGCACAGTGCAGCAATACGCTGTGGAGTTCGAGGAGATTTGGGTGCTGCAGAAACCGGCTGAGCGCATGAGCGAGGGTGAGAAGATCCATCTGTTCTTCAGGGGGCTGCCTGAGCACCTCAAGAACATGCATATGACGGATGGGGCTGGGGAGGCATGGCGGTCCTATGATCACGTGAAGCGCGTGGTGGGGACCACTGATAAGCACTTCCGCGCTTATGCCAAAACCACTACCCAGCCGCAGCAGGCCTCAAGGCCGTCTTCTAGCACTGGGGGTCCGAGTGGAAGGCAGCAGTGTTCGCCTTGGAAGGGCGGGAACCACAAGAGGCCCTTCCAGCAGGGGCAGCAGGCTGACCACAAGGCCAAGAAGGTCAACGAGGGTGGACCAAGCAATGTCCAGAGCTGCTTCAAGTGCGGCAAGCCTGGACACAAGGGCTATGAGTTCCGCCACCGCAAGTCGGTGAAGTACTCTGGCAAGCCCAAGACGGACAACAAGCGCAATGACGGCAGTGGTCCCTCGGGCAGCCAGCGGGATTTTGCAAAGCCCAACTAGGGGGTGGGTACCTAGCGGGCATAGTAGATCGAGAGGATGAGGCAATGGTCCTGCGGGATGAGGAGTTATTGAAACTCGAGTGCCTTGTTGATTGCAAAATTGCATGTGTGTATGCATTTTCTTTTAATGAAAGCTCTTTGTTTGCCTCTCGATTTCACCCACTGGAAAATGTCACAATTGAATCATTAAGAGATAAATTCTCACTTATATTTTGTGATCACCATAATTTGCCTTGGATAATGGACGTGGTGGGTCGTTGCACCCAAGCGCACCCTCTAACTGCGGTTGGAATGGTAACGCGCACAGTTCGAGGTAAATCGTTTCGAGCACTTCAAGGATGGAGCGTGTTAGCGCAGTGGGATAAGGGAC